GGAAAGAGCTGGTTCCTTCATTCATCACCTCTAGTAGATGCCATTTGTGTGCCTAACATTGTTTGGTTTTTTTTTTTTGAGGGAGAATGCAATGATGATGAGACCTTGGCTTAAGAGAATTTAGGGGCTCCTAAGGGATTTAAGATTCTCCCAGCTGATCTTGTAATAACCCAGAGCAGAAAGCAATGAATGAATGTCCCGAGGGAGGTGCAGATAACGCTCGAGTGGTTTCGAAGGGGAAGGGTCTCCGTATGTGACCAGTGGCCGGCCTCACCATTTCAGCAGGGCACACTTTATGGGTGAAGCCTTTGGGCAGTCGGGGCTCTATTGCCGAGTCTGATTTTCAGCTTCTCAAGAAGCAGAGCTTTGGGGGAGGAACAAATGGGTAAAATCACAGTGTTTTCCAATGCACTCCAAGTATTTTTTCTTTGGCGGGGGGCGGGGGGGTGCATGTCATTCTATCTGTTGTAATGACATCTACCAGAGACCTGTGAATGGGTGGGGGGCAGAGGGAGCGGGTGGAGGGATGGAAGTGGTTCCCGCCAGTGGTTTGTTATCTGTGACGTGTCCCGTTACAGTGCTCACAGCTGCAGGGGGCCGGGTGGAATTTGCCTGCAAATGGGCATTTATTTTGCTCAGGATGAGACTAGCAAATTCTGTAACCTACAAAGAGAATGCAAGTCGAGAACAATGAGGTGAACGTAAAAATAAATCTCTGACTTCAAATCAAACCTTTCAATTAAAAACAAAATCCCTGCCACCCCTAAGGGTTGGGACCCCATGGCTTACGTGAGATTCTTTCTTTCAAACAAAAACACTAAGTCTTTTTCTTATGTGGAAGAAACACCGACCTTCTTAGTGGGACCCCGGAAGTCTTCAGGAGTTTGGTTGTCCATTGCTCGGGGTCTGTGATCTGGCATCCCTACGGGCCATGTCTGATAAGGCAACCTCAGTTTCTCCAGCTAGTGTTGGGGCTCTGGGCAGCGCCACCGTCTGTGGGTACAGGAATGGAACAGCGAACCCAGCGGAAGGAAAAATAATGGATGAATTCATGAAAGGCGAGCTGGGGGGATGGTACAGAATGAATCCTTTTCCATACCTGCCATGTAGTCAGCCATGTGCCACAGAGCTTCCTTGGCCACACGTCAAAACTGTCTTGACAAATGGAGAATACATTGGAAAGCCTCATTTAGCAGGAGGTCAGGATGGTCCCAAGAACCTCGAGAAACCCAAGGAAACTCTGAAAATAAGAAGGCTTAGGGATTGGTCCAAGTCCCTCAAACATATAGCAGAATTCTAACCAGGGTTTGGCTTATGGGACATAGGTCTAAGGAATGATCTGTTTAAAAACGGACTGTTTCTAAAACTCTTGGATTAAAATAGTTGTTGGAGTACGGTGAATAACCCCTCAGTGACAGGTGCATTTACTCAGGCAAAAGTGCTGTGGTTATTTCTGTAGAAGACGTCTTCTTTAGAATCATGCTATAGACCAGGCCCGTAGTAGGTACCCAGTAAGTAATTTTTCAAGGTCAACTCACGGGGAGCAGCTGCCTGTAAGTTGTAAGGCCCTGACTGTGGTGCTGGAATTGCTAGGAAAGCATGGCTTTTTCTTACACATGTGGATACTGGTCCAAAACGTGTGGCAGTGGATTCGATGGCTTTGCAAGAATATTAAAAGCAGTCGAGCACCTTGTGACTCAAGATGTATCTCCATCTTAATCCAGGGTGAAAGTTTCAAAATCCACCTCCCTGTTTCTAATTCTCGAGAACTAATATTGCAATGTCGATATTCTTCGTCCTTCTGTTCCATAGAGAGTGTCATCTGAGCTGTAAGGTTGTGTGTTTCGCTTGGGATTCAGTACATCACTTTTCCATCTTGAATTTTTAAAATGCTCTCATTCTTGATAAATGAGACCTTTAAAACGTGAAAATCTGTACTCAGCCGTAAAAAGGAACAGAATTGGGTCATTTGTAGAGACATGGATGGACCTAGAGACGGTCATACAGAGTGAAGTAAGTCAGAAAGAGAAAAACAAATATCATATATTAATGCATATATGTGGAGTCTAGAAAAATGGTACAAATGAACCTGTTTGCAGGGCAAGAATAGAGACGCAGACTAGAGAACAAATGTAT